AAGCAAGACCTCCCATGGGGGACAAGTCATTATTTCTAAGGTGCTAAGCTGCATTTGCAGCGACCCAAACTCATGAGATTTGTCTGATTTGGAAATTTATGCTTGCTCAAATTTCTCTAAATTTTGTTGCTCATCATGGAACTCATGGTTCGCATGATGTTTGAGGCTCAGCGCAAGGTAGCTGAGCGCAACACAATTTTCTCCCACCTTTCCCGCCCTTGGGGGGGTGTGTGTGATCACCATGTGTGATGCCAGTCGCCTAGATGGCAGACTCCTACTCGTCGCCCTAGTGGCAGACTTAAGTAACACACGCGTACACCCCATTGCTGCCTAGGAAAAAGAAGTGTGAGCGACTTGCGCAAACCAAATTTTGTATTTCGAGTTTGGGAACATGTTCCGTGAAATAATTCTTATAGAGATTGTTTCTGATACGATTTGAATATGCCTATGTTTGGGAGCACCGTGAAATCAGGAAATATCCCGATATTTGTACCTGCAAATTTGGTGTTTGGAAACTGCGCTGATTTGAAGATAGCAAGCAAGTCATAGATCAATCCCGGCCTGCTTGAGACAGCGCCAGCAACCGCGGCCGATGCTTCCGGTGTACCTGCCGCCTTCACACACAGTATTTTCAAGGAATATGTAGAGTTTTGGCACACTTGCCAGACTTACGTATCATCTATAAGTGACTTAGCTAAGTGGAGTAAGTAACCTCGCGGGGTTATAATACGTGTCCTATAAGTTGAAGCCAATTGTTTGCTAAAGGGTTATATACGTTTACAACAAAGCATCTTTGCTGGGGGATTTAATAAACCACCTATGTGATTTTCAGGTGTTGTTCGATTTATAACTTGATTGATAATGCGTATAACCTAATGTAGCAAATTTGCTCTCTCTACCAAGTCCCATAAATACTTACGGAACGACCCGGCTTTTCAAGCAAGGAAGGTCCGATTGAAAAGAATTGGGAGAAGATCGTGCAGGATCTAACCGAATGCGTCCGGCTGTTGGCAGCATGAAACTTATAATCTGCAACCGTGAACATTACCGTAAGACCGTAAGAGACAATTTTTTCTGGACAGTTTTCGTACCGACCCAGCACCTTATGCTTTTAATGCGTGAACAAGATAAAGAAACCTTTTTTTGTTGACGTGACAATGTTCCAGTTGAAGTAAAACATTGCTACGGACATTATTTCGACCTTGTTAGGAACATTGAAAAATCAATTCAGGTGCGGGGGGTTTGATCGGGGCACAAATGGGTTTGTTTTCACCACCTCCTTTTTTCAAGTCTAACATACACTTCGTATGTCGCAGCTGTATTCTCATGAGCATGCAACGTGCCCGGTGGGTTTTTGGACCTCATGATGAACATCATGGCAATGAGGTTGCGAATTGTGGCTCCATTAGCAAATGACCAGATGCATGGCGATTTCAGCACCATGAATAAACTTCACTAGAAAATCCTGTTTGCGTAAAGCAAAACACTTTCCGCCCATGGACAATGCTGCGAGCCTGGGAGTGGTGGAGAGTTGGACCGAATGGGACAAGCTTTGTGAAGTGTGGGTGGGATCCCTTGAAGCTTGACACCTTCAGTCATTGCACGATGGCAGAGGCAATTTTTGGTCATGATTTGTTGTGAATTGGGTATGGATTTGCAGTGATCGTCGGAATTGTTGGCTTTCATCCGTGACCGCGCACAGCCAAGGACCACAAGTCCTTGACAGCCCCAGAGGCCATCGGAACTGTTCTTGCAAAACATGTGCCGGGGACATGTAATTGACATTTAGCGTGCCATGTGTGCGGTCGCTGGCGACAGCACTCAAATGATGCAGAATGTCTGGCTGAGGCCATCTGCATTGCATGAACGTTTTCCGTTTTGGCTCTATGCATGAGGGCATTTCCCGACATTGTATATGTTCTTTATGTGTCCGTGCAAGGCGTTTCCTCATATATTGGCACATAGGTTCTCAAAATTTGCTGCATGTTTGCTTTGGGGACGTGACGTTTGAGCCAGGGTTTGACACGGCTTGACGATTTTTTTTGCTTTACACTCCGTACCCGGTGGGCTTCGGCTTGGCTGCTCATTAGTCAAGACTGCTGCGCAACTAGGAGGAAGACATGTTCAGGTATATCCAGTGTCTAGTGTGTTCCCAGCACCAGGCCAAGCTTCAGTTGGAGAATTACGTGCAGGTGGGCATCATGGCCTTTGACGAATGCCAGGGGGGATTCTGCATGCAGGATTCCTGGGTGATCGGGGCCAGACTACTTTTTAATGCATCACATGAACAGACGGTCAGTTGTCTTGTTGAAGATTCCCCTGGTTCGACGACAATGTTGCCAGGTCTTGCAGCAAGAGGGGATCTTTGTGCAACGGCCAAAACCCTTTGAGACACAGCAAGCGGTCCAGACTCCAATGTGGTCTGTAGACAGGAGCTTCGTCTTTTGCATGTCTTGTTTATCATAGATCCCATCGCAAAGGTTCATGGATTCTGGAAGATGTACGGTAAAAGCAGAGGGTTCGCGAATTGTCCAGGATGGGTGGCTTCACTTGTCCCCGGGATCTCTTCTTCGTGGCTGGCAAGCAAGTGATTGAGGCAGCCTGCAGAAATTCAAGGGCGGGGCCAGTCAAGCTATGGAGTTTCCAGCCAGGCACCAATGAGCTGGCGCAGTCGTTACTTCGAGCACGTGGCGTGGAGGGACTTGTTGATGAGCCCCGTCCTCAGCTCAATCTTCTGAGGAGCAGAGGTTTCTGCATCTGCGCATCGTTTAGCGAGGTGGGTATTGGATACTGTAGAAACTTGAAGTAGAAAGCCTGGGATGTGCAGTCTCAATTAGCCCAAGATAGCCAACTGGAATTTGCTTGCACTGTTCTTCAGGTTATTACAAGTCTGATGCCAAAATGCGATGGTCCGCTGCCCCAAAACCCATGCTCCTGGACAGCAGTTTTGGGGCTGAAGGTGAGGCCGGAGACGTCACGTCCAGGGTTGTTGCACAGGTTGCGATGCGGACCACCCCTGTGAAGGAGCGCACTATCCGCAACTCGGAGATATTCTTCGATGCTGCTGACTCGAGACGGTTTGGAAAGGAGCCTCAGTTGCGAGTCAGATGTGGTCCGGCATCCCCGGTGCTTAGCAGTTCTCTTTTGCAAAGGACGTCTTCTTCCAGAGTGCGCATACCGCCAACGACTTAGGCATCGTACTACCGGACAGCATGCTACGCAGTGCCCTAGCCCTTGTCTAGCGACGATACCCTCCACAGCAAGTTGTCGTGAGAGGATCCTTACCGGCCAGTTGCGTACCTCCCGGCCCCCTCTCTTGTCTGCAACTGTTTAACTGATCTTGCGGCTGGTTACGTCTGTGGGGTGCCCGGGGGTGGATGGGAGACATGCGAGTATGACCTGCAGTGCACACATGTAAGCAACTGGCACTTCGAATCTTGCAAAGTCTTGCAGACTTGTCCTATCCTTTGCCGTGGCAGAACCTGCATGCCTTTGTCACAAGTGTCTTGCAGGGCGGGAATGGGTCCGCCGTGAGCTCGCGGCACAGGGGACGCGTGTCCAGGCCGCTGGGAGTTTCAGTGCAATGGACTCAGCCACGCATCTATTGAGGAATAAGATACATGAGGATTTCCACTTCGAGAGCCACTTTCACTTCTCCCACATCGATGCCCGGCTGACCCCGGTGGATGAGGGCCTCTGCTTCTTCAGCTCCATGGACAAGCCAACCCCCGAGCCCCTTACTGCAAATGAGAGCGTCTTCCTATTTGGACAATTTTGCTCACTTGTACTGTGGTCTTCAGTGGACGTACTCTGAGTGCGTGCTGAAGCTTCCAACAATTTCTTCTCTTTCGAGTGTTTGTGGCGAATGCAGTCAGGATATGATACAGCTCTTCAAGGAGAATCTTGGCACATTGTGCTAGCGTGGTCTGGCTTATCGACCGCTAGCAGAGCCCAAACTGCGGTGTTTCACAAACGTTGCGTCAGGAATGAGTGGAGCATCCTGGATGGAGGCATGTGGTGATAAGCTTGGTTTAGGTTCGCAGAATGACAGACATGTTTTCCCGACATTTGGAGCTTGCAAAGGACGCTGCATGTGAGGGCTTGATCTAACGCATTAGACGTTACGTCCGGTGATCCATTCCATTCAGTGTTCGTTGTTCTGTTATCAGCATGTGCACACGAGTGTACCAAGTGGTGCCACATGCTTGAACATGTATTCGCAGGAACTCGTGAGGACTGCCGATGCACGGCAGACCAATGTGCCCCTGGCATTCATCTCAATGTCTTGACAATTGCGCCCAAGGCAGGGCAGTCCGGACAAGCTACTCCATGATCAAGTGCTGATTGACGTTGCAGAAGAATAGGTCTGCATTGTGGAGAAGAATGAGAAAAGCCTCATCAAGCTCTTCAGTGAGGAAGGTGCGGAAAGTAGGCGGTGCTGTAGAGGTAGCAGGATCCGTCCCTTTCTTGGGTGCGTTTGTGTCTAGTTTTGTGCTAACGCAAGGACCACACTGGCTCTTGAATCATCCGCGCCCGAACTTAATAATGCATGTGTGCAAGGAGCCAAAAAGGAATACCAAATTCACATGCCTGCAGTGTCCACTGGCAATGTGGCTGTTGCAGGCGTGGATGTCATCCCGATTGAGTTCTCAGCTTGCTACCCCTTCGGCGGAGCATTGAACTGCTACACTCTGGATATCCACAGGCCTGACTCTGCTTTGTGCTCAGGGATGCAACTACTTGCCACAGAGCTATTTAGTCAGGTGTTTTTCATTGTTGTTAATAAGGACATTGTGCCTTACGGGATACTGAATGCAACCCAAGCCAACTGCGCAATTTCAGGGAAGTTCTGACATCAAGCTTTTTATAAGGTCCAAATCCTAAAGCCTGGGCTGGAAACTCGAATCCCATAAAGTTCCCTAGGCTGGATTGAGTCAGAGTCAGGCAAGGCCCTGCGCAGAAGTCCTACTTCCCCACTTTGGATGTGAAGGCCGAGAGAGAGGAGGCCGGCTTGTGACCGGTTGTGTCCAGAGTCTAGTTCTCAAAGTTCTAGGCTTTTTTTGGGAGATATTATATCACGGCACCTAATATTCAGGGGTACCAAGATGGGACCCTATTTTTGGGAATTACCCAGGTGTCGGGGAAGTGTTTCCCGCTTTGGGAGGTCTTGCTGACTTGCTGTGATGGTTTATCGAATTTTGGGGATGCAGATGCGCTTTGCTTTGAGAAGTAGCTACACCGACCCACAACGAAGCTCATGTTGTTTTGGGCTCCTGGTCTTGGATGAGTATCATATTCTAGCCCAAAATGAATCGTGGACGAATTGCACAGCTGCTCCTTCATTCTCATCAGGCTTTTCCGGCAGAAATGCCAATACATACCTGATATGAAGAGGCTGCAGAAGATGCCCTGTCTGTATAGCAAGTGTTCTCGAACTGGTTGATGCACGCCTCGCACGGGAGACACCAAACCAGCATACAGAACAATTTCAGCGTTTGGAAAGGCAATTTTCATTAGTCTCTCCCACTTTCAGGACCCCTGAAAGTGATTAGCTTTTGCAGCAGCATGGGGCTTCGTCCCACCGAAGCTTTGTTATTCCATGCTTCGTGAGGGTTTTTCCCCTGTAAAGAAGAAGCAACTCAGGCCAAGCAGATGCTGTCTGAGAAGCCTTGAGCTGGTTCAGTTGAGAGGACCCACGGGCAGCGTGCGTCGCTGACCCTATGGTCGACCGCAAAGATGACGGTCCACAAATGCCACATCCAAATGTCCTTGGGTTTCTACTAACAGATAGCCCAGAGAGCCGCCACATGTGGAAACTCAACTTATTACCACCTCTTGCATGACCACGGGGCAGTTTGTGCCTTGTTTTTCCCAATGTGCAAGAGAGCACCGCTAGGATTTGTTCAGCACTAAAAGAGGAGAACAGCATGGCTGTTTTGGACTTGTAATTCGTCAGAGGCAGAGTATACACAGTGTGCTAACCATCAATTTGTATGTAGTTGGAGGACATTCCTGCTTCACAATGCACTTGGAGCAATTCCAGCTAGGTGTTTGATACCAGAACATGGCATTGGGCACAAAGGCAGCCGCTTAGCCAAACACGCAGCGACCCCGCAGCACTTCCGCTGCAAGGCTATACAAGCATGATTCTTGCAGCATGGAGACATCTGACATCCAGCATCGCAAAGTTGACGCCATGCCGCCTAAAGCTAGGCGCAACGGGCGCAGAGCCGCCCCTTACAATGCGTGCCCCTCCTTTCTGGGATGCGCTTGTCATCAAGCTTTGCTGATATTCAGAAGCGATTTCTGAATCTAAACGTACACTTGAGCGTGAGATTGTTGGATACATGTCGTGGGCCTGGAGTGGGGCTTGGGTAAGACCTCTGTGCCTTTGTGCTTGAGGGTGGGCTGCTTTTGATTTTCCTCTTTGAAAGGTATGTGCAGAGGGAGCGGCAACAGAAGTACTATGAGCGGCACAAAACGCATGCTCGCTTCAAGCGCCTCCAGCGCTACGAGGACGGCGTGTGCTTGAGGGCTAAACAGTCATGAACAAACTGCCTCCCTGTTGAGCAGCCCGCATCTTGAGGGTCGGCGTGGCAGTTGCTCGTACGGCAGTTGTCAGGCTCGGCTATTGGTGTGTTTTTGGGTCAAATGATTGCAGGAACGAAACCAGTCAGCGGCCGACCAGCCGCGGGCCCTGCTAGAGCGCGTCCTTGCTGAGGCGGTCCAGGGAAGGTTTATTATGCAAAATGCGTCTGATTGAGTGAGCGCATTGTGGACCTCAGTGTTGCCAGCATGGCAGCCACGGCACTCGGGTGCTTGCGAATGCCCCAGCGACAGGGAGCGGATGCCGTGGACGCAGAGTACGCCGCCTGCTTACTTACATCCTATCAGGGCTGCTTAAACAACTCAAAGATATTGCGTTGTGACTGACAGCTGCTGTTTTGCATCTTGTCTCATTCAATCGACAGGCAAGTTCCTAGCATCATACAGGGCCTTGCGAGGCTTTTGAAGGGAAGTATTTTAAGACGTTGTGCGCCTCTGCTCAAGCCCAACTTTGTTTGATGAAGCAGACTTGACTGAGTGCCAAGCATGGAGGGATGACAACTTTGCAGAAGCCGGTTTGTGCAGCTCAAATCCATCTCAGCAAGCAGCGACGTCTGGAGCTAACTTACGGCACCTGTGCCTCTCAAATCCGTCTCAGCAAGGAACGGCGTCTGGAGCTAACTTACGGCACCTCACAAGGCATGGTGGGCAGACGTTGAAGCGGGGTTCTCTGACTGGCACAGGTGATTCACTCTGTTTCGTGCCGTCTCGTGAGCGTGGCCAGAATACTTGTGTTGGGACTTGGCAGCTAGAGAATAGAGCCAGTACCTTGTGCAGGTGGTGACGCCTCCAACAAAGCTGAGGTGGCATGAGGGCAGCGAGAAGCATAGTGATGTCCATACCGTCAGTTTTCGGGAGAGCTCGATGAGCTCGATATGTGTCCAGAGGCTTCAACTGTTGTCCGTCGGCTTTCTTTGGCCCCTTGTTCGTACATCACCTTGTCGGGACGAGTGGCAGTCCTATAACGGCAAGTCCGATGCTTGATCCCGCCGTGCCTCCAGGAGGCACCCAGCAAGCCACCTGCCAAGAAGTCCAAGCGCAAGAGGACGGGCGAGCACCCTTGCAAGGGGAATTTGGCGTTGAAGCCTCCGCTAGGAATTTTTGCAGCTTTGCTTTGGATCTGCATTCAAAAAGGTTACTGCCACTTCTATCAAGGAGCTTGAGGAATTTGAATGTTCCTGAAAGCTTGCCAGGTAGTTGTACTCTCAATCAGCTGAAGTGACGGGCAGAGTCACAAGCGCAGAAGGCTGAAGCTTCTGGAACTCCTTGCCAGTTTCAAATCCCTGCCCCCAAAATGGCCCGGAGGTAGAATCTTTACAGCAACTCTGTATGCTTCAGGAAAAGTGCTGAAGTCACGACTCCTGCAACTGCTGCAGAGCCTGCAGGCATGCCTGGTTTACTAGTGGTTTGTCAGGAACAATATGGGTTTTCTAAAGTTAGGGGTACCTTTTTGGGTGAACTCATAATAAGGATCATGGTATATTGGGGTCTGTGCTGGGGTCGCTTGAGCATTGAAGCCCAACGATGGATTGTTTGTCTCTTTGGGTTGTGTGCAGGGATGCACATGCTGTTGGGGTGTGTTTCGTGGACCGGAGGTGCTGAAACAAGATGTTTCTGCATTGCCATCTGAATCTGAAACCCAAGCACCGCGCAATCACAAGTTGTCCACATCCCGTTATTGTTTTCTATCTGTTCAAGACTACATCATCTAGCCGTGTTGTGCTAGCTACTGGTATTTCAGGAGACGTAAGGACGCCGATGTGGTAGTTTCCCAAAATAGGGGACGCCCATATAGATCACAAAATGCTGTAATCCTTGTTATAGGACCACCATAATGCTATCCCTAGTTTTGGGAAACCCCATATTTCAGTATTCAGTGGCCTGGCAGTCCCTGTGGCGTCAGCACCCGTGGCCCAATCTGAGCCACATCGGCGTGGGCGAGGTCCACGTGTGTCGCGGGTTGAGTAATGTTCTTGGTCCACGTTTTGAGCATTTTTAGGTATTTGGGGTTGTATCATGAAGGGGATTTGCAGGTGTCGTCTAGGATTTTGGGTTGTGTGAAGTGAGCTAAGCCTTTTTCATAGGTTGGCTGTGTAAATTCTGGAATATGTGGGAGGGATTGGGGGATTTTTCCTAACGTGGGTATCACGACAACACCCTGCATTTCATGACCCCCAAAATACTTGAACAGAGGCAGCTTGGAATCTGTGCGAGGTCTGTGCTTGCAGTGGACGTGAGCGATAAGCATACAATCGCTGAGTAGGTAAAGGAGCTATGTTGAACAGACAGAGGGACCAGTAACATAGGGATGGGGCACAGTCCCAGGTGGATGTGGCCCAGGGCATGCTGTTCTTCATAGCTCCGCAACTGATCAGGTTGTTGCTCAGTCATGGCATGACATTGGAATTTATCTGCTATGAAGAAGTTTGGCAGCTTAAGATTAGCTTTGTTGGTTGGAAGGGGCAAAGGAAGTCATGCCAGGTCGCAACAGTGCCAAGAAGGCAGAAGACAGGCCCTCAGCTGCATGGGGAAGGTGCCAAGGCCTTGGGCTTGGGTCAGCCATCAGGTCTAAAGTCCATCGTGAACATGCATTTTTTTCTTTGCTTTTTTCGTCGTAATCCTAGCAAATAGGCTTTCTGTGCACAACAGCCATACCATTGCCCGCAAGGAAACAGACCTGAACCTGGTTTCAAATGTGGAGTGGCGCCATAAAGTGCTCAGGTCCAAGATCGCTTCCAAAAGCCTTGGGCCCAGCTAACATCCTGTCTAAGCTGTGGATAGTGAAAGGGCCAAGGCATGCCAACGCCATAGTGGCGAGGGGGCACCCTCATAATGGGCTTCCATGCTTTTTCTAGTTCACCGGGCTACTCTGACTGCTTCAACTGCTGAACTGCAATCCGCATAGTTGCAACGGTAGGTGCTTCTCAGCTCCCTTGCCATGAGCTAGCATTTGTATCACGGAGTTCCCTCCCCACAAAGTCACGCAGCTGATCTGTGCAGCCCAGGCAGCGCCGAGCCTACGAGGCTGCGCAAGCCGCTGCAGCCGCGGCCAAGGCGGAGCGCGAAGAGGCGGAACATGATGGAACATGTATTCATCGAAAAATACATTCATGCTTAACACAGCCTTCCACAGACTACATGTGAGAGTAGTTTGCGTTTGCTTTTCCAGGAGCTTCCAGGCTTTGGCGTCTTGGATGGCGTTGCTTTCTTCATAGCTTTCACATGAGTCTCATGCACTTGCACTGCAGCGGAGAGTGTCCGCAGTTTTAGAAACACAAGTTCTTGCATATCCTTCAACAATGGCAATGATGCCAAGTAATGCCAGCTGAGCTACATGCGCTTCTGATGGTCCGACACCAGGCGCTTCGTCAGAGAAATCGCAAAAGGAAGCAGTGCCTTGGCTTGTGCGAAGCATGCTGTCCATTAGTGAGATCTTTCTTTGGACGTTATGTGCTTGCGGTGCAGGAAGCTGCCTTGAGCTGTTTGGTATTCCTGTGTGAGGCTGAATTCTGTGTATGCAGTTTGAAGGGGAATCAGCCAGACATTCAAGGACAGCCAAGGAGCGTGCACGGGTCTCAGAAGCCTCACCAAGAGAGATGAGAAGAAATGGATGTTGTGCACAGATGCACCCCCACAGCAGAAGCCGTCTCAAGAGCACATTCATGCTGAGATGCCAGGAGCATGATGTGTGTTGTAATGGTCTGGGGGGTATGGATATTCGCTGCAGCAGGGATCATTAGAATAACTGTCCGGGAAATGCTGGGAGACATAGATTCCTTATTTCATATTCCTTACCCAGTAAAACCCGTCATGAGCAATCGTGGCTTTCACAGATGCTCTGCTAGGCCATCACTGGCAAGCTGCTCGCACGGCGCAACATGAAAGGTCAGCCGTCGATGCAGAGCTCTCCGGCCGGACAAGACAAGAAGTGGACAGCCCTGCAATGACCAAGATTGCCACACTGATGACAGCTGTTACTGCCACTACTACTTTTTTTTAATGTTTGAAACCATGGCTTGAGTTGTCAAACGAAACGTGCAGCCTAGGCATGCTGGAGCTGGTGACTGCAAAGCTCGAGGGAACTCCAAAGGCAAAGAGCGTGCAGTGCAGGAGTTCTAGGCGTTGCAGCTTTGCGTGTAAACGCTTAGGTGCCTGAGGGACGAAACTCACTTGCCACTTCGTCCTTGCTCTGCAGGGTGGCTTGCGAAACCGCAACTGATTCCTCGTGCTGCTTGCTGCGAAGTGGCAGATGCGGCCAAGGCCGGCTTTCTTGCGAGGCAATTCTCAATCTTGTCATTGCTTCCCAATAAGCACAACTGCTTGCTAATGTTCGTGTCCATGGGAGGCTGATCAGACGCACCTCTCGGCGCTTTTCAAAAAGTGCAACAAAAATGATGATTGAAGCTTATTGCACACTAGTACTATGAGTTCCAAGCTGTGCTCTTTGGATCAGGGCCTGGTAAGAACCGTGTCGATTGCTTAGCACCGTTTGAATCTGGTTTGACATCGTCAGCGTCAGTCCAGGCTAGGGCTGCCTCTGAAGCCTGAGGTGGCCAGCACTGTGCTGATTTGGCGTTTAAACACAACGTTTAAAAACTTGTCTTGACAAAGGTCTTACGAGCCGCAGACATCTCGTATGCTTTGCAGCCATGTGGCCCCAGTTGGGAGTCGGATTCACATGTGCTGCGGGAGGGCCATTGTACATATCGGGCCCTTCCCAGCTGTTGTACATATCAGGCACACGTCCAACTAGGAGGCCATGCGGTCTGCCAACGGCCTTGATGCCTGTGCGCTCGCGTGTGCAGCGGGTTCCACGTCACGAACTGGGGCATTCCATTGTAAGGATACCTGCAGACGGCAGATCGGTGGTCAGAGAGCGACAAGCTAGAGAGATCGTGGAGAGCTTTTTTCAAGACGTCTCTCGAATCAACGCGCAGGGCAATCCGATGCGATTCCAAGTTGCCTCTACAGCTCTGACAATTCTAATTTATGGCATGATTGTCCGACGTGTTTTGCAAAGCCGTCCAAACAGCAGGTGCGCCATTTTTGTGCCGAGGATTGCGGATGCGCGTCGAATATGTCGTGAGTTAAGGCTTCTGCAGCTGCAAACGCATTTGGTTGGTGATGGTTCATCTAGGAGTGATCCATTTGCCGCTGTCGTGGTTTGTGTGTCTGCCAGCGCACGCCATCTCGCTGGGCAGCACTTCGCAGTGAAGCTCGTGGATTCGGCTGAGCTCAGGCGCGATGGTCTGGCCAGGAACCTCATTACGTCTCATGTGAAAGCCAGTATGAGCGCAGAATTCTCATTGCACTTTGACAGTAATGAAGCTGACTGTGCTTACCCCCTCTCGGAAGCACTCCGGGACGGACGTGTGCGCAGCTTGGAGCCGTACCTTTTGCTTGCGGACAGAACACCCTGTTTGGGCTCACAGCTCTTGAAGACGCTCTCTGCCATACAGGCCCCATCCCGAAATCAAATCCACTAGATCCGGGTACTTTCTCTACAATGGAATAATACGGGTCCCTGGGTTTGAGTTCCCGTTATATCACAAGGGTCCCTGCACAAGCCTGAAGCATGTGTTCGGCAACCTCCCACTTAGTCACATGAGATTGTTTGATTACAAGGGCTTCATGCATGCCATCGTAGCGGTATCCTATGGTATCCTGTAGTTGGATACAGGTATGACACTTGCTTGGCTCTTCCAGTATTTTCGCCAGGTCGATGCTGCCTGGTCACCGGTGTTAGTGGTGCTCAACAAGCCCAGGGACGCGCAGGCACTGGCGAATGAGCTCCAGGCCCTGGGAGTGGCAGCAGCAGCGGCAGTCTCGCGGAGGCTCCGAGGCCAGCAGGTTCTCCAGGATGTGAGAGACGGCCACGTGAAAGTCCTCTGCGTCTCGCACTGGAGATTCGAGCGGTCTGACCTGCCTTCCTTCAGCACAATAGTCCTAGCAGAGAGCTTGTCAGTCAAACCATCTTGGAGAGAAGCGATTATTCGTGCACTGCAGCCTGGCAATACCGATTTCGGGGCATTGAAGCTTGTTTGCATGATAACAACACCCAAGCCTGAGCTTCAGTTGACGCGAGTGCAGCAAGCCTCACGCATCCTTGGAGCACTCAGCGGGACTGGAAAGCCACCAGATTCATGGCAGGTGCTACATGCAGATGGCAGCACAGGTGCCTGGACTCCAAGACCCCGTGAATGGCTCGAGAGTCTCTGCAACTGGGTGCAGAAACATGGCCGAAAGCCACACTGGAGTTCGAAGCGAGAGAAGACCATGTTCGGCAGGTGGAGACAGGCTTGCAAGTACATGCGCAGAGATTGCTTGAATGTGGCAGAAGTTGAGCTCATGGAGCGGACTTGCAGCATCCTGGCAGAGAACCCTCAGCGGTGTCCGAGGGACGTTCTGCAGGATTTGTGCGACTGGATTTGCACACACGGGCGACGTCCATACCAGCTGAGCAGAGATCCCGTTGAGCGCCGGCAGAGTTGCAGGCTATCCAGAGCCTTGGCGCGATTTGAGAAGGGTAGGCTGAGCAGTGAACATGCCCAGCTTCTGGAAAACTCGCTGCAGTTCACGGTGCGGCCATGGCTAGCCAGCATGGTTGCCTGGATTCGCTTTTTTGAGCGCCTTCCCTACTTGTATGCTGCAGAGCCTGATGAGCGAATCCAGAATCGCAGGTGGAAGAAAGCGAACGAGCTGTTGTCAAAATGTAGGCTGACAACCGCTGAGATGGAACTGATGCGGGACTGTCAGAATTGGAGGCAGGAGCTTTCTGAGAGACCGCGTGCCTGTCTCGTAGCCCTTCGGGCCTGGATCCACGTGCACAGGCGGCAGCCGCATTTTGGCATGGCGAGTTCTGCCGAGGAAAGACTGCAGGCCGGTCGCTGGAAGAGGGCAACCCGGCAGCTGTCTGAGGGGGACCTCACTGAAGGTGAGGTCCCCTTGATGGAAGATTGCCAGAGGATTGTGTCTTCTTCAAAACCCCGTGAATGGCTCGAGAATCTGTGCAAGTGGGTGCAGAAACATGGCCGGAGACCACACTGGTGTGACAGGCGCGAGAAGACTATGCTTAGCAGGTGGAAGACTGCTTGCATGTATATGCGCAGAGGTAACTTGAATGTAGCAGAAATTGAGCTGATGGAACGGATGCGCAAAATCCTGGCAGAGGACCTTCAGCAGTCTCCGAGAGAC